TGGCACCGCCGGGCTTCGCCGCCGCCACTCGCTGCCAGAGCAGAGGAGGGGCCGGCGGCTGCCGGGGGTGTCACCGCCGCCGCCATCCCCGGTGATGCCCCATGGGGAACAGCCGGTCCCCGAAATCCCACCGGACGCCCTCGCAGTGACAGCGGATCTGCTGCGGCTGGTGCGGCGTGAGGCCAGTGAGGAGCGGAGGGAGGCGGGTGCCACATGCCTGCTGCCGCCGCTTTTGGCGGCTCTGACCCGCCGCAACGAGGACGACGCGCGGCTCCGGCAGCTCCGGGGTCTGCGGCTGCCAACACCGCAGCTGGGGGTCCCGCCGGCCCCTCAGCACCCCAGCCAGCGACTGCTCCCGTGGCCCAGCGTGGCCGGGCCGTGGGTGCTGCCAGGCAGGGCCTTCGCCGAAGGGGTGACCCTGCGGCTGCACCCGCCGCTGTGCTGTGATGCTGGGGAGGACACCGGGCTGGAGGACACCGGGCCGGATCCCCTGGGCGTGCAGGAGCTTTACCAGGAGTTGGGCAGGGGCAGGGCCCTCCCCGCCGAGCGGCTGCAGTTCCACTGCGATCCCCTGGTTGAGCCAGCAGCTGCCGTGGCGGATCTACTCCCCATGGGCGAGCGGGAACACCAAAATGCTGGTGAGATGCCGTGGCACGGGGGTGGCCGGCACGGGCAGCAGCAAAGCGTCTGCCTCTTTGAACGCCAAAACGCCGGTGAGATGCCACAGCACGGGGACGGCTGGCACAGGCTGCGGCAAAGCGCCTACCTCTTTGATGACTACCTTGAGTTTGTCGCGGCCACCGGCTCCGACTTCCTCCATGCCATTTTCCACCTGCATGATGGTGACGGTGAGGAGGAGCCGGTGAAAGCCCCACAGCCCCGCCACGAGACGGCACCAGTGCCGGCAGAGCCGTACGAGAAGGGGCTGTGGAAGCCGGTGCTGCCGGGACCGGCACCGGCAGGGCTGGAGCGGCTGCAGAGGCGCCTGTGCCGGCTCTGGGCCGTGCTGGGTGTCCCCAGCTGGGAGAGGCTGGAGATGGCGGTGAAGTACGGTGCCGTCGGGGCCCTGGCGCGGCTGCCGGCAGCACTGGAGGCCTGGGAGGCAGCAGCCGACGGCATCCTGCAGCGGGAGCTGCTGCTGGTGCAGCTGGAGCGGCTGGAGGAGCGCGGCTCTGACCCCGGACGCTTATTCCGTGGGGGCCTGGCGTCAGCGACAGAACGTGCTGGGGAGGCGCGTGCCCGTGGCCGCCTGCATGCCGCGCTGGCCCGGTGCGAGGCGCGGCTGTCGCCTGCCCTGCGACGCCTGAGGGACAGTTTTGGGGACACGGTGACTTTTCGGGGACGTCCCTACGCCGAGAAGATGCGCCGGGACATGGTGGAGATGCTTTACCAGCTGCAGCAGCGCCGCCGCGCCGGGGCTCTCCAGGCTGCCCTGGGGGGGCAGCCACAGCATCCCCCCTCCGGCACGGCGGGTGCCGAAACGCCGGGGTGTTAATAAACCGCGGGAGTGCAGCGTTGCGGGGGTCCCCCCCTCCCCTTGCTGGGGGGTCCCGGCACCTGAACCCCACCCAGGCACCGCTGCTGAAAAAATACGTTTATTCACCCCAAAACGAGCGCGGACAAGGCGAGGGGGGAGGTCAGCGCCGAAATGGGGAGCACTGGAGGATGCGGCAGCCCCTGGGGGGGGACACAGGGACCCCCCCCCCTTTGTCCTTGAGCAGGGAGGGACACCCCCTTCTTGTAGGGAATGGCGACCCCCCCCCCTTGTTGCAAGGAACAGGGGGACCCCCCCCCTTTGTAGAGGACGGGGACTGCCCCCCACTTTTGTGTCCCCCCCGACGTAAACCTTGGCGGGGGGGCAGATCTGGGCTCAGCGTCCCCCCACACACCCCTCAGAGGACCAGAGCCCCCCCAGATTTTAGGGGGGGGTGTCTCAGCCGAGGCCGTCCTTGACCTGCTGGACGATGCGGGCCCGCACGGCCCGCGCCTCGCTGGACGTCTGCCCGTGGGGGGGCGGCAGGGGTAGGTCGGGCTCGATTTCGGGGGGGGGCAACCCCTCGGGCAGCTCCAACGGCATGCGCCGGCGTAGGGCGATGTTGTGGAGGATACAACAGGCTAAAAAAATCTGACAAACTTTTTGGGGGGCGTATTGCAGACACCCCCTCCCCTTGTCCAGGCAGCGGAATCGTAGCTTGAGGAGGGCGAGGGTGCGGCGCAGGACGGCCAAGGCCTGGTGGTGCAGCGCGTTGTACCGCTCCTCCGCCGCGCCGCGGGGCGCCGCGATCGGCGTCATCAGCCACGGCTTCAGCGGGTAGCTCCGGTCGCCTGGGTGGGGGGGACACGCACATGGAAGGGGGGTGGTCAGAGAGGGGGGGCCCCCCCCCCCCCCCAGGGGGGAGAGTGGCACAGGGCAAAGGGGCTGCGGCACGTGCGATGGTGTGGGGCGGGTGCGTCCCCCCGGTTCCGGGGTGGGGGGGTGGTTTGGGGGTCCCCTGGGCCTGAGGGTC